AGTTAATTGGTTAGTAATTTCTTATTTTGATTTTGTTAATTTAAAGACATCTGTACCACAGAACTGAAGACACTGTTTAGGAACATATAGAAGACAACTATTTTATTTATATGAGAAGATTGATAGGTAGATACATTTACCAGAATCAAAACGATGAATATTTGAGTAGAGTCGAGAACTTAATATAACGCCTACAACATTACCAACCATCTGGCTTAATTTATTGCTCAAATCTCACAACTGGGCGACAACTGGCACTAATTTAATGAGCGGCAACTCGGCTCATGGTTGGCGTCATAATTGTCTAGAAGCGTTTATTACATTCTACTCATTTTATACAGGCCGTCTCGTAATTCCTGTCATCTTATAAAGGAACATCCTTTATGTCTATTGAATGTTAGTGTTAGTTTACAAAGTTATATGGATGACAAGAATATGTTATTGCCTTGCGTATATAATTGTTCGCCAAAGTTTGTTTCACACGTATCGTACTTGAGTGAAAACAATGGAATGATATTACTAAAATACAAACGAACATTGAGTTTCATATTCGGACTAAGGCCTTCTATTGCTATTTTATCTATACATATTACTTCTTACTAATATTATAAATGCAAATGTTTAGATGGATGTTTGTTTAAAGGTATCTCCAGAACGGCAAAACGGATCTTGATGATATTTGGCCTACATATAGAACATTGTATAGAAGAACACATAGGCTACTAATTATGTTTTTTTTTAATACCTCGCGGACGAAGTCACGGGCGACAGCTAGTGATTTATATTTGCTTCTATCGTAAACTCATTTCTTTTGTCGTTAATAACAAATACTATTATTTTTAAGTGCAATAAATATACCTGTGTAGTTGTTTGTCATATTTAGTTCTTATTTTTCCTACTATGTTTGACAAATTGAAATACATATTAAAAGATAAAATACCTAAATATGTAATTATCACGCAGATTCGAGACGAAAATACCCTTTATTTCTTTTAACACACTAAATCTTTTGTAAAATTCAATAACATAAAACATATTTGTGTCCAAAATATTACATCATACAACGAAAATCGCATCAAAATATCCTCCATGCGGTATGACAGTCGGCTGAAGCGAAATGACTCAACAGGACTGAATCACAATTAAATACGACAACATGTAATAACAAACACGTTGAGAGTATAAAAATATCTCGAACGTTAGACTGCGTGAAACCACACGCGTTGTTAGACGACTTAACATACGGACATAGAACTGTTAAAAATTTACATATAGATGTTAAGTATTAACTAACGACGCTTCTCAAAGTGTACCTGTGTATATGCCAATTTTTCTCTCTTCATATCGTCTTTTACAATACTTAACGTCTACAAAAATTATTATTATTTCAGCTAATTAAATGACTTAATAACTGGCTGTCTAATCTCCGTCTGCGCGGAATTTAAAAAAATAAATAATCGGTAGCCTATGAGTTCTCTCATTTTGTCCAATTTCAGCAATATTCATGTAGCCGTCGAGAGATACCTTCTCAAAAAACATCCATCTACCATACATTCGCATTTATAATAAGTGTGATAATGAGGGTTTTAACGTTATACGATGGCGTTAGAAGTTAACAAGTTTTTAAAAAGACATTTAAACGTATTATGATTTATCTATAAATATCTTATTAAGATACGTCGTGAGAGTTTAATTTTTTTACCAGTTGAATGAGCAAGTAGGACACGGTAGTACATAACAAAGATGCAATAAATTCCGGAACTATAGAGCGAACAATGCACAAGCAACCACGCTCTGCAAAATGCATAACATAATCAAGGCGTTCGCTTATAAACTCAAGCCTGTATCTCATTAAAGGGTGGGCGGGGACGCAGACTATGTTATAGGGTTGCCACATCGCCACTGTTTAATATTATATTAGTTTCGTTGTTGTTACTTGATATATCGTGTTATTACAGCCCTGTATCCAGAATCTAGCACTGTTTATGGCTCGCTTCGCACATTTAATTTGATTTATTTGGAACATTAAACACATCTATAGGATGTTTTAATATAATTTCAGTTCTAACTATCAGATCGTGTTCCAATTCACACTTGAAGTTATATCCCATTATATTTTTAATATTAGAATTATTTGAAATACTCTTAAAAATTTTGTTAATAACTTTTTTCTTTATTTCGCAATCTTTATTCTTGCGAATACTTTTATCCGAGCCTTAATTATGCCCACCGGCATCCGCACCTCAGGATTTTTACCTTCCACGTAACGACATAATGATGATCGTAATCTAAAAGCGCTTGAAATCTTAGAGAGAAAGAGACAAAAAACGAGAGACACCGTAAAATTATTATGAACCAAGCTACGTGATGAAAAAATTAAGAAACTGACTTATCGACTTACTAAACAGATATTCAGAAGTCAACCAACTCGCACTTGGCCAGCGTGGTTGACTATAGCCTAATCACCCTTAACTTAGGCTCCGAACCCCTTGGTGGGGACTACATTGAGCTGATGATGATGAAACAGATATTACTATAATGCCTTTTTCTTCTATTACCAAATGTTTATTTGAAAAGAGTCCATGTTATTAATTTAAACCCCGTACTTAAAATACTTGACTAATAAGGTAACTTAAGACGACCATAAATATAAAGTTGTCCACGAAGTTTAGTGACTATAAATTTATTAATGGATGTCTTGTACTTACCACGGTGCTTAAATATTTAATACCATGCGCCAACTAGAAACTTAGCAAGTATCTAGAAATACATTAAGTTTATAACTTAATAACGTATTTAATATAAATAAACCTTAGGAGTGTAATCTCATTATTTTTATTATAAAAAATATTAATTGCTGTGGCTCATCGAAGCTTAGAAAATTTACAACTGTCCACTTGTACTGTAAACAAAGATTTAACAAGAAAACGCTTCAAACACAAAGAGTAGAAGGAGAAGGACAAATTCCTGTGCGTCGTCTCCACTTCCACCAAATCAGTTTTCTCTTTCCTTCCTTTTTTTTTTTAAAAAAAAGTAGAATGTGAAGATGCCCAAAATTAGACCTCTGACACATACACTAGGGCCAAAGCGACATTACTTCCACGTCGCGCCTATCTTATGTGTTTATATCTTTGATTGACAACCCTATTAGTTATTGCACTTTGATGCAAACGAGGCAACGGCACTGCACAAAGCAAAGCATGAACTGAGCGACGTAGGGTTACCTAGCGACGATTTAGTAACAAACGTGCTAAGAGTTGTATCGTAGCTTCACATGCAGAACACCCATCCTACCTTTATCTATGCTTTTAAGTGTAGCTTTCTATTGAGATCTTACCGTGTCGCTATTGTATTAGGAAATTATATTTAATTCTACGTAGCATTTTTGTTTTTTACGTGGAAAAAGCATAGGTAATATGATATTTAAATCTTTGATGAGTATTTTGTTTCAATGTAAACATGACGTCTGCTAATATATTATTATAAAAAGACTAAAATAATACTATTAATGAGCATCCGGTTACAGTCGCTTCGAATTTCTGTAGCACCTTCCACGAAAACATATGGCGACATAATTTCAATATAAATATAACAGTGGAAGCCTCTATATTTAGATAGCCTAGATTTCAGAGTTACGATATCGCGATTGTGAGTTTGAATACCAGCTAAATACTAGCTATTTTTGTCTCACCTGCTTCCAATAAGTGTAAACGGATACACTATATCCTTGTCTACTTACAAACAGATTCATAGGCTTTCCATAGACTATTTCTCTTTACAATGAACTTGTGTGTATTTAAAATTATATAATAGTAGCTACAAAACAACAATGTGTCAGTACAAAAACAGAGGAAATTGTAGTCATCTTTAGCTCACTATATGTCCCCACCGAGGGGCTCGGAGCCTACCCTAAGTTGGGGGTGACTAGGCCATAGTCAACCACGCTGGCCAAGTTCGGGTTGGTTGACTTCACACATATCTTTGAATTTCTTCTCAGATATGTGCAGGTTGCATCACGATGTTTTCCTTTACCGTAAAAACGTCGGATAAATGTATATATGTAAATCAGAAATCGAAAAACATTGGTACATGGCGGGATTCGAACTCAGGACCTGCAGATCGAAAGTTAAATGCTTGAGTCCTGAGACACTGACGCTCCAAATTGTAGTAGTTGGTAGGAAATTGGTCGTCGTTGTCGTTTGTTGACGAAAACATTTTGTTCTTGTAAACTACTGAGCACAGAGTTTATTAGACTCATAGCTTCCGTGCATTGTTTGCATACGTTACGTTACATTCCTCGATTGAAACACAGAAATCTGTAACTTAAATTGTATTTTACAAATACTCGTATAGCAACTTGACATAATTTTTATTTGGCATTCTACCAATTTCATTTCATTGTTTTCAATTTAACTTTGCGGCGGCCACTTAAAATCGCTGAAATAGCGAAGTAACCGTTGCCCATAGACATACGCAATTGCATATGCGTTATTAACTTACTCAAAGTTTTTATTTAACTAAAGTTGAAGTGGCTTATTTAGATAAGTGAAGTCGACTTCTAAACCTAAACCTAACACAATAATCAAATAGTACCATTACCTTCAAAACTTATAAGCGTAGAGTAAGTCTAGCTTGCAAACTTCGTTCTGCAACTCATCTATCCATAACAACTTATATTTTAATAATAATAGACCTTCCGTGATATAACCTAAAGCCTAGTATATGTTAACAAATATTGAGCTCCGATTGATGTTAAACAGATTCTGTAACAAAGTTGTTGATGGAGTAATGATTCAAAACAAAGTTTCATATTTTCGCACGCCTCCAACATTTCGAAGTATTGCAATGTTTATGCAGAAATAAACAGATTATAAAAAGTTTAAGGTCATGATCCACTTCTAAAAGCCAATATATATAGTTTTTAAACCAGATGGTTTATTAAAATCCACCACATTCCTACCAACATTAAAAAAATCTATAAATATACCTTTTTTTTACAGGTAGTACCTCGTCTGCTAGGGTCACTAGTGGGAGGCGCTATGAGTCCGACACAGCATCTCGAGCAACAGCAAGCACTGGTGAAACAGTTCGCAGAAATACTCGAGTTTGTTCTTAAATTTGATGAACACAAGGTGAGTAAAAGACCGGCAACGCAGTTGTTTCTATGATATTATGTCATTTGCCGTTGGATCAATTAACATTACGATCCGGTGCTATTTTGCCCCCATCCCTATAAAGAAAAATATTTTTAAAATTATTCCGATCTAGAAACAGTATCAACAAATTTTTACATGAATATTTACACTTGTGTTAGTGACAATCATTTTAATAACCGTATGATAGTTTCGGTTCAAATTACTAATTTCACTTACGTGTCAAAAGGTTTTTTTTAATTAAACACGTTTCTGTTACGCGTGTCATCATAATTTTGATGCTCGAAGGACCAATGAATGAATCATACTCTGTTTATTGCTTAGGGAAAAAACATCGAAGTATTCAATAGTTGTAAGCATCTTTTAATTATAAAATGTGCAATATAAACACAGGATGTCACAAAATTCTTTTGATTGTAGCAAATTATTTTTTTTTACTCAAGTAAATATACCTTTTACCGTATATTGTAAAATGACCTTTAACAGTCAACTGTTAAAGGTCATTTTACAATATACGGTTTCCGTTGATTGAAAACAATGGTGAAACAAATAAGCTATAACGATAGCTTGTTTATACGCTAGGAAATTGAAAGAGTGGATGTAATTTAATCGACAATTGAAAGCTCTTTTGACCTCAACCTTACCGAGTCAATGCACTTTAAAATTGCGTCACTTGCTATGTATATGAGTTTAAAATATTCATGGGCATTCGCCACATTAAAACGAAACTTCGCTTATACTTTGCTGTCTTATAAGTTACATAAATTTAACTTCGTGGAACTTAGTTATGTAGAAGTTACAGGTAAAGTATACCAAAGTCACACATCATCATCATCAGCTCACTATATGGCCCCACCGACGGGCTCGGAGCCTACCCTAAGTTAAGGGTGATTAGGCCATAGTTAACCACGCTGACCAAGTGCGGGGGTTGGTTGCCTTCACACATATCTTCACATATATCTAATTTCTTCTCAGATATACGTAGGTTTATATCACGATGTCTCCTTCACCGTAAGAACGTCAGATAAATGTACATATGTAAATCGAAAAACACATTGCTACATGGATTGAATTCGAACCCAGGACCTGCAGATTGCAAGTCAAGTGCTTGACCCCTGAGCCACGGACGCCCCCACACATAGCCACTTACTATCAAGTGGGTTTGTGGTCAAGCACTGGTTTATTCCATACAAAAAAAATCAGTTATTTGCCAAAAAGCCAGCTTAATTGTTTGGTGTAAAAGTTTACACTTAGATATACTTAATCGGGTTACTGATACCAAAATCTCTATATAAAACATATCGTAACCTATGTCATTATCTTTGATAGAACAGAAATAAGAATATTTTTAAACAGAGATTTCGGTCTCAGAAATCCACGGTTAAAAATCAGTTACTATTGAAAGACTGTATTTTATTATTATAGTAAATTTTTTACTCATAATTTTTGCCAAAAGCGATTGCTTTGTTGACTTTTAGTTGTGTCAATTTCCAAACGAATACCAATAATTGGTAATATTGATTTCCGTCTATCATTCAATTTAAAAATCATAACATCCCATCTATCCGGAGTTATGTTACGTTCAATTTTTACATCGACCATTTCAATCAAGTTGGTATATAAACGGAAGCTGATAATTTATATAACGCTTACAATTCTTGTTGATTTGCGTACATAAATAAATTGATTGCGAAGCTGTTAGTCATTGGAAAGACAAGGCGGATCGATTAGCGATTTGTTGATTGTAATAAAAGTGAGACATGGCCAGACCTAGTAATAGACACATTACACTCATTTTTATTGTACTGTTTTTTTTTTGTAGAAAAGAATTTGATATATTTTAGCCTGCCACGTTAGTTTATAGCAGTAATTCCGAAACTTATTTTGTCTACTGCCCACTTTGAGAATAAATATTTTTTTAGCGCCCCCATATTTTCACATATTTAAAAACCACTATAACAGCAAATTAAATTAATTATTGTGACCTATAAATGTATATTAACAGAGAATTCTAAACGAAACTTTTACTATAACCTGCAACTTGAGACCTGCAGCGCCCACAAGGGAGCGTTATCGCCCACTTTGGGAAAGACTGGTTTATAGCATTATAATAGTCGTATAGCGTAGATATGTTTTTTAAAGATCCTTTAAATATTTTGTTACCCTACAAACTTTTTAAATCTTTTGAATGTATGGATGTTAACGAGTACTAAACGTATAGTTTATTATTAGTATTGCAAATATGTAACGAATTTAAGTACGTCTATTTTCCGATTTTATAATCTACAGTGGTTTACCTATATATATGAAAAATAACAATTTGTATGTATGTGCATACCTATAGATGCAATTTCATAACAAACGTAATTTACCATCCTGTAATTTTGTAAACAAATCCGTGTCTTATTACGTTTCGTAAAATATTTCTTATAGCCTTTCCGTTCTTTTCTTTTGGAGAATGTTACTGTATCAGAGTAATACAAATTGTACAAGGTTTTAACTAGCCGGGTAAAGAGTAGAATAAATTATGGTTTGAATTGTGTTACAAGTTACATAAAATCGCAGTAGCATGTAATGTGTTAAAATTATATCACGTTATCTGTTTACAGATGAAAACGCCAGCAATTCAGAACGACTTCAGTTACTATAGACGTAGCGTATCCCGGGGAGGTCTCATTAATTCTGAATTACCTCCTGATGAAGAACCGCACATAGGTGCAGAAGTGGCCAACAGAATGTCCCTCTTCTACGCACAAGCTACACCAATGCTCAAAGTACTTTCAGAAGCAACCAGCCAGTTTGTGAACGACAACCAACAAGATTTGGAGAACACGACAGAGACACTTAGTACTATGGCTAAAGTCTGCTTAAGGATGCTGGAGAATCCGTAAGTATATTTACTAATCTCTTAAAACATAGTTTGTTGTTTAGGAAATTTAATAAAGATCTATGCTAGTCACGTAAGCCTATGATGAAAGTTTGTAGACAACCCTAATTGGTTTGGTAAAATAACTACAATATTTAAAACAATCTGTACATTTCCTTTGTTTTATTACAAAACAATCGCATAAATAAGGATACGAAAGGAACCTTTTCCTAATTAGGTTAAAGTATTTTACACATTTGCATTTTAATCAGTAAGCTTCAGTTTACCTTATAACTATGTGATGATCTCATCATGTTTACAGCAATAATTATAACTCACAGCTGCCACAATTAATGCATTTCTGACACTCATATATGTTATTCTTTCAATAAATATTATCCGAGTTCGTATTTATCGTTAGGTAACCTTAACGTTTGCAAATCAAAAGCGATTTAATTTTAGGCGATCCGTTGCTCGTTTGCCCCCTTCTCCTATAAAAAACAGCGTTAATAATATTTCCATTATAATTGGTTGGATGGATGTTTATTAGGTCAGAACGGCCGAATGGATCTAGCTAAATTTGCATAGATGTAAAACATAGTCTGGAAGAACACATTGGATTATAATGTTTTTTATTTCCGCATGGATGGATTCCCGACAGCTAGTATTTTCTATTTGTAAAATGTCAAATTCAATCTATACGATTTCTGGGTGTATTAATTAAAATTTATAATTTAATTTGACAATCGAACAAAAGCCATCGCAATGCAACTTTTCAATCAAAATATAAATTACGTTTTTTGTGTTCGACATTTTAAGCCGAGTTTACATGCGCTCTAAAGTTCCCTAACTATTGCAATTAAATTCTCAAACAAACACATACTTCAAACGTGAATATTAAACTTCTTGCTTTATTAAACATTCACCGATTCTATTAACATGCAAACTGCAAAACTTTGGGTTAAAGTTATAAACTACCAATTAAATGCCTAGCAACTTTAGAACTAACAGTATAGGCTAATTGGTACACAGAAATGTTATATACAATTTCTTAGGGTTGGTATCAACTGTTGAAACACAATAACAAATCCTAATGGGCGTCGTTGAACACCTCGGTGTTCCTGCTGCTCGTTTGCCCCCTTCTGTTATATAAAAAAAAACCTAATGTTTTGCAATGTTTTTTTCGCAGTGTAAACTCACTTTAAAAATTTCTCTCTCTTTTGTCTCTTACTTCTTAATAATATTATAAATGCGAAAGTTTAGATAGATGGACGAATGGATAGTTGTTTGAAGGTAGCTCCGGAACGTGTCAACTTGATGAAATTTGGCACAGGTATAGAGCATAGTCCAGAAGAATACATAGGCTACTTATTGAGTTTTTTTATTCCGTTTATATACACATCTAAAATATAATGTTTGATTGCATATAAATTTACTGAGTGAATTAAACTTTCATGATACTAGTCCGAGTGGTCGGTGCGTTGCGGATGCATAAATCAGGGATATCCCACTTAGACTAGATATAACTTGGCCCATATAAAACGAGCACTAATATTCTCAACATTTTTACAAGATTTTACTCTCCTTCAAACTTAGATCTCGAGTAAAAGACGGTTTTCCTGAAAGTCCTACAAAATTCGTGCAAAAACGACAGAAGAGGAAGAAAACTATGAAAGAGCAAATGTATATCTGTATTGTATTATACTAGATTATACTAGAAATCTTAATTGTTAGCCTATGTGTTCTTCCGGACTATGTTCTATATGTATGCCAAATTTCACCGGGATCCGTTCAGCCTTTCAAGAGATACCTTCAAACAAACATCCATCTAAACATTCGCATTTATAATATTACTAAGATAAAATTTGTTTCATATCAATGTAATGGAACTCCTTTTTCGATACTGCCTACTTAACGACAGATCATTCATCTCGTGAAACTTTTACAGAATATCCCTCAGCAGCTATTTTATATATAACTTTAATTTACTCTGGTAAATTGTTGAACGGGAGCGTGAACGATGTTTATCACATCATCCGGGATCTCTCGAACGTGCCTCGATCTCAAGACGACGCGATCAGAATTAACAAGTCTTGTTATAATAAATATTTAAATTATCAAAGTTACAACAGTATAAATAGCATGATTAATATGAAAGGTTTTAACTATCTTTTTAAACTGTACCGTAGATTTAAATCAATTTTCATGAAATATAATTTAATAATTTATGTGCAATTGGGTTCCTAAAGAAGCGAGCTTATCACTATCTCAAAGGCCGGCAACGCATCTGCGGTTCCTCTGGTATTGCTGATGTCCATGGGCGTCGTTGAACACCTCGGTGTTCCCGCTGCTCGTTTGCCCCCTTCTGTTATATAAAAAAAATCTGTAAAAAAATTCTAATTATTGAATGAAACATTCGGACATAATATTTTAATCTTCTCTTTTTTGAAGTTAATGTAGTTATTTTATTTATTATTTTCAAAACTATACATAATTTCAAAATTATACATACACTAAAAAATGTAAGCTTATTTTTATGTGGAATAACCAACTATAAATTGCAAATATAACACGGTGTTACGAAATTTTCGCAATGACTTTTGAGGTATAAAATAAATACCATTCATGCACTAAAAAAACTTGCAACATTTTCAGCCGAAACTTGTTTCACGAATACGTTGCGTGCTCAATGCGGTAGACAATGCGTATACATTTTTTACAGCTGCTACTGATCTAGTTTTTTATACATTTTTTACATCGCACTTACTCGGTCGGTAAAAAAAAGCTTATTAAGTTGACGGAAATTACGTTATAATTTTTTTTATACTTAGAGTAATGTAGATATCGTGGAAATCACGTCACGTCTATGACTTTATCGAACTCTAGTCGTCTACCACGACTGCGTCCACGCGGTGATGAAAAAAACGTAATTAGTAGTCTATGTGTTATTCCAGATTATGTTCTACATCTATGGCAAGTTTCATCAAGATCCATACAGCCGTTGTAGAAATACTTTCAAACAAACATCCATCCATCTATAGCTTCGCATTTATTATATTAGTAAGATTTCTTCACAAAAATAGCAAATTCATACGACAATGTTCATCTCTTCTTTAGTTTTTTTTTTATGTTTGATGAGCCAGCGTTTGACCACGATCCCACCTGTGTTAGTGGTGATTTAGTCGAAAGATGGTACGCGCTAGCTTAGTAAGTGCCTATTCACTCTACTTTTGAAGGTCCCAACATCATATTTGGACGGAAAAACAGAGGATGGCACCTTCTTATATTTCCACAGACCTTAATAAGTTTGTCGCACTATACGATTGTCTAAATCATTAATATAAAGTGGGACGTCAACCGTAATTCATTATAACAAACACTTTGTTAAAGACAACGCCTTATCCTTTTACTCATTGTCTAAGAATAGCGTGGAAGAAGAAACACGCTACAGCTAGTTGGCTCAATGTCGGCAATGAATGACCACCTCTCCATTGTGTCATAGACAAGGGTATCAGTTACTCGGATCGTATGCAACCGCAAATTATACAGAACTGTCACAATGACTCATGAAAACATTTTAGCTTCAATATAAAATTCATACAAAATTGAGAACTTACTTATCTACTCCGCTGGCGCATAGACCCAAAGTGGGTCTTGGCCTCCGACACAAGAAATCAAAATTGAGAACCTCCTTTAGAATTAATCTACACAAACCGTATATACCGTAGGTTTCTGAGACCAAAATCTCCGTTTAAGACTTATTGTTAAATCTGTTTTGTCAAAGATAATGGCAGGGATGACAATATGTTTTATACAGACATTTTAGTCCCAGAAACCCACGGTTTGTGACTTTTAGACTGTGAATACGGCGTATTTATCAATATCATACCAATCACAGAAAGAATTTGATAGTCGAATAACCGATGGTTTCTGAGACCAATTTCTGTATAAAACATATTGTCACTCCTGTCATAATCTTTGACGAAACAGAGAAAAAAAATTGTTTTAAATGGGATTTTGTCTCAGAAACTCATGGTAATAGATGTGTGAAACAACATACGTTAGGTTTGTTCGCAATTTAGTAAACACGTAGTCAGACGACACCGCCCATACAGTGCGCATACTCCTAGCCCTATGCGGACAGTTTGCATTAAAATTCGAATCACGTCTCCCAGTCTTAGATGCAGAATTTCAATATTGAAGTCGATAAAGTATCTTGTAAGTTTTTATTTTAGTTTGAAATGAGTGTTGTATGTAAAACATGCAAACTACAGCTTCTACGGTAGAAGAGAAAAAAGTAATTTAACTAAGGAAACAAACTCAAGTAAATATAGCAAGACCAGCAAATAAAGACCTTTCTCATCTGATCTGATCTTTAACTTCTATGAATATGATTCTTACGGTGATGACAACATCGTGAAGGAACCTGCTTATATCTGAGAAGTAATTCAAAGACATGTTTAAAGTCAACCCGCACTGGGCCAGCGTGGTTGACTATGGCCTAGTCACCTAAGGGTAGCCTCCGAACCCCTCAGTGGGAACGAGCTGATGATAATGAAATTATTAACTCAAAAACAGTGAAAGAAATCATTTCACTTCCCACTAGATCCGTATGATTTTTGACATAAATGTTATGTAAGCGTCAAATAATATTTTACCGGTGCTCAGAATATAAACCTTCCCGATTGTATAAGTTTTAAAAAAAAATAATTAATCAACTGGATATCACTCTAATAACAATAGATTTGTTACAGTCAGGATCACCTAAAATTCACAATCGTATTCGGGACAAATCCGTTACTAAAAGCAACAAGCTTGGTCACCGTGTATTGACGTCCGCGACTTCCTTATCAAGCCGTTCGATGATACACGAGCCGTTCGCTCCAACATTGAAAGTGACAATGGACCGTACGCCTCGAATGACAACGACCGCCATTCTAAATGAATCGTATTACTGAATCAAAGGACTCGAGAATTGATAAAAAATGGCCTCCACTTAGGGTGCTGTTGCACTGAAATGATGACGCAAACGTAATGCAAAACATT